CCAACGCCCTGCCACCCAGCAGCCCACCCACGTCTGCCTCGGCATCGGCAGCGGCAATTGGGACTGCCGGGTAGGCAAGGACGACAGCCTTGTCGTTGCCCTTGGTTGGCGGAGGCCAGGGGAGGAGGCCATGGAATGGAGAATCCATGCAGTCACCGCTGTTTCAACCTTCAAGCTGCCTGCATGCCTGTTGTATCGTTGTAATCCATCCCATCCATCCAGAGACTGTCACGGGGACCCGGCACATGGACGTACATGATTGTATGGCGTCTGGATTTACAGGGCGCATGAATTCAGGTGACAGCTCGTGCGGCTTTTGCAGAGCTGGGCACGGACCCTACCGTTGACAGGCAAGATAGAGCCTGACCAAGGCTACAGTGATCACAACTCGCATGGGAGTGGGCAAAACATAAGGCCCGATCCTAGAGTGATGGCAAGGCTTGAAGGCAGGCCCTTGTTTGCACAAGTCCACCAGTGAGACGCATGTTGCAGGGGGTGTTTGCGGCGGCCTCCAGGATCGAAAGACCTGAGCCCAAGGGGCACCAGGGTGGTTGGCCCCCCAGGTCAACCCACAAGGCACTTGGCCAAAGGTGCAGAAAGCTGTTGTACGGTCAGTGCGGCCTCCTGGGACCTCTGCCAAGCCCGGCCTCGCCACCCCCCTCAGACGTTGGAGGCATAGAGTCGCTGGGTGCTCTTCTCCACTGCTCGTTCCTCTCGCAGCCGGTCCAGCTCCTCTAGCGTGGTAGGCAGGGCCCGCTCCCTCAAACTCCTCCCAAACGGCCAGCTGAACAAGTGCGGGCCGGGACAGAGGGTCAGTGGGCTTGGCATGAGCAGCGTGTGGAATCCCCCACATGAAGGCACATTGGTTTTCTTTTTCTGATAACATTGTGCGATCTTCAGCACAGCGACCCTCCAATCCGATAGTCATCGGCCCACTGCCCTCCTGGCAAGCCAGTCCTCAGCGTCTAGACTGAACTCCCTCCTCACATGACGTATGTAGCCATCTTGACGTTCAGGATGGCTGTGCTCAGTCCGACAATCGTCAGGGCTTGGATCAGGGCTGCGCTCAGGTGGGCCAGCACGAGTGGCCACCCGAAGAGCAGGGCCCACACAATGTTGCCGGCGATGGTGTAGGGGTGGGCCGGATTATCCAGGAAGGACCCTCCCTGGTTGATGAGAGGGAGAGGAATAGTGACACGGTTTGCAGAAACCCATCCAGCAGTGCCAGCACATGCGTCGCGACCAGGAGGAGGGGGCACCGATGACACATATCATGGCCCTTGCAGAGGTCGTCATGGAGAGTGATCCCATGGCATCGCTGCTGTGTTGGTGTCATGGGCGTGCCCTCCCCATTCGAGCTCCATCTGCGGGCAAGCTTAGCTGTCAGCACCGATCATAGAATCAACACCTGCCCAGCCGTGCCGCCTGCGGTGCACACCTGGACTGAGAAGCTCAGGGTCTTGATGTATGGCTCCAGCGTGATGCCTCCATCCAGGGCGAACAGGCTGATGCGCAGGACTTGGAGGGCAAACGGAGCAAAGACGATGGTGAGCAGCATGCCCACGGCGGCCACGCAGTACGCGGCGCACAGCCAGATCCCGCCCGTCACGATCCAGATGGCCCTGCGGAGGGGCAGTATGGGCTGCGTGTTGCCCCAGACCATGACCTGGTCGATGCGGCGACGCAGCTCCATGGCCCTGGTGCGGGGACGCCTCGCTTGCGGAGGAGGAATGGTTTTGGACCCTCGCCGCGTCGGGTGGGTGTGCAGCTCTATGCCCTGTCAGGCTTGCAGTAAATTTAGCTTTCAGCGCGGTGCGGCCCTGGGATCGCTTTCCATGCCGCTGCACGCCGGTCTCCTTTTCGTCGAGGTGCCCAGATCGCGGGCGCGCGAGTTGGGGCGAAGCTGCACTTCAAGAGCCTGACACGCATGCATGCAGGTGCCCAGCCAACCCATGTGGATTATTCATGCCAACCCTGGTGCCATAGTGTTTTTCAAAACATCATTATTGGCCCAAATAGTAAGGCTGATCCGGTCACAGGCAAACCGTGCATAGTGTTCTCTCCCGGTTCACCATGTCGGCGCGGCCGAGCCAACCTCCCGCATGCTGGCCAGCAGATTGGCCATCTCCACCGCGGTGGCTGCAGCCTCTGAGCCCTTGTTCCCGACCTTGCCGCCGGCACGGTCCAGCGCCTGCAATGGGTTCAAAGTGAATGTTTGTGAGGGTGTGGATGGGGGCCAGTGGTCACGGCCTGCTGATGAACATGAGCACCTTTGACGACTGGAGCACCCACCTGGTCCATGGAGTCGCAGGTGAGGACGTTGAACACCACGGGGACGCCCGTGTCAATGGCGGCATTCAACACTCCGCTGGTCGTGGCGCCCACCACGGCGTCGTAGTGGGCGGTCGCGCCCTTGACCTGCGGGGTTGGCAATACAAAATGAGCACCAGCAGGAGATAGGACGCTGGGGTGCGATGCTCTGCAGGTGGGTGCCACTCCAGTGTCCTGCACTGGAACCCACCAGGCCAGACCCTGGCACAGCATCAAGACCTCCTGCACATCAGACAGCAGCATACATGAAATTGCAAAAGTTGCAGACCCATGACCAGACAGAGGGGGTCAGTTGCTGTGGGTGATACAGCCGTAGGCCTTTCTGCACACGACAGTCGAGCGCACCTGGCTGGGGCCAGCATGCACCAGTCCCTTTCATCCATGGACCCCCTTTGGCCTCACCACAACTCCGATGGCGATGACGGCATCGTACTTTCCGCTCTTGGCCATGGCCTTGGCAACCACCGGCAGTTCGAAGCTTCCTGGAACCCAGGCCACCTGGTGGGATGAGAGGGGCGTGGGTTCACCAGGTGGGCCAGGCACACTGCGCAGTCCTATGGAAGAGCGCCACCATTGGGAGAGCTGTACACAGGCGTTGGGGAGCTTGATGTTTGTCCTCCCACCGAGAACTGATGCCTTGGTCCCCTGCTTCAATCCCCCAGGCATCGCGGCCAGATCCACCAGAGCTTCCCCCTCCTCACATCGACATCATTGTCGACATCCACCCAGTGACGACTCAGGGTTTCCCGGGCTCCAGCCAGAAGGGGGCGGGTGACCAGCTCGTTGAAGCGTGCCACCACGATGCCGATCCTCAGTCCGCTACCATCCAGGCTCCCATAGAATGTCTCAGACCCCTCCTCGTCCTCACTGTCCTCCACGTCTTCTGGGCCGGCACTGACGCCAGAACCCTGTACGGCATCCTCCACACGGGGTGAGGCATTGGAGACCTCGCCCTTGCCGGCCTTGCCCCTCGTGCGGACACTGCTCCGTGGGAGCAAGGCTGCGTGCACAAGGAGCGCTCGTCAAAATGTTTGTATTGGCACCTTACCAGCCAAAGGCGCAATACCACGACGTGTCGCATGAATCGACTCCCACGCCCAAACCTAACCCCACCTGCCGATCGAGACGACCTGTGGGCCATGCTGACGGCCAGCATTGTGCTACGGGTCGACGTACGGGCTTGGGTGGGTACCGACGGGGATCTCAGAAACGCCTGGGTCCATGCTACGCTCACCATCCTGACTATCAGCTAAGATTTAGGCAGAGCGAGGGAAAAGATAACCTTTCAATATGTCCCCTTCATGGTTGCTGGCTCTTCCGGGTCTGCCCGGTCTGCACCCGGCGTAGCTGGCTGTGGGATGGGGGGATGAAGGGCGTCGGGATGTGACGCGTCATGCATAGCATACTTTCCCAGGGCCGGCGTTTCAAGGCTTGGATCCAGCTGCTGTTGCAACTCCCCATGTATCGTGGCCACCTCCGGCGTGGCGTCGAGTGTCCGCTGAGGACACTCGTGTTAACATGCACTCGCGAGCGTGGCGTTTGGTGTGAGGTACCCCCACTACAGGCTAGGCGTAGCGCATGTGTACTGAGCCCCATTGCAGCACCTTACCTTCCCCCACCCCCCCATTCGATAGGCTGCTTATTTCCTGACCAGGTCAAGGCCACGGACCATTTCTGAGAACGCAAACAGGGTAGACAGCCTCGCAGGCCACATCGGCACACCTGCACTCCTGTTACATTTGCACCTCCTCCAACAGGGTGCGATTTTCAATTGTCTGATGCAGTACACCCCAGGGGTACAGATATGTCCTCATGAGATCTCAGGACAAAGTCCAAATCACCTGGCAAACATGAAGGGGATCCCCGCATCTCCTGGCCTGCCTGCACTTCCTTCTGAAAATGCACAGGCATCAACAAAGCGAGGGAATGGGCATACGCCCCACGATTCTGATCGTGAGCATCCATAGCAGCAGAAGCCTGTCTCGAGTACACGTTTGTAGGACATTCGTGGCCCAAAAACACCCTCTTTCCATGACAAGGTATTTATTATCCCCCGGTAACCACCAATCGGGGTCGCTTATCCCCTGCCATGCGTCATCCATAAACTTGCTTGGAGGGATCCACAAGTGGTGCAAACATGTGTAGGTTTGCCGGGGGCATTGCATGCGCCTCATGAGGTAGTTCAACAGGGTAGAGGCCGCTGGGGCTTATTCATCCGGAAGAAACCCTGGAGAGATCTCACGTAGCCTGCTCCGGCGTGAGTAATCCTCTGCTCTAGATCCCATGATGTCGAGCACGTCAGTATTGGAAACGATTATCGAAAATTGATTGCACCTTGAGTGAATCTGTGCCCTGGCCCCTGCCAGCCATCGCACCCGTCCCACCGGCCCGTTCTCATGTCGTCGCCAGCCCAACCTAGCAAGCCCTGGACCAGTGTGGATGAGTTGGAGGAGCAAGCTGTTCCCCATCTCCCAGCCTCTATAGCCGGATACTACCTTGGGCACTCGGAGAGGGGGGTGACGGTGCGAGACAACGTGACTGCCTTCACCCGCTGGCGCCTGCTGCCCCGCTGTATGGTGGATGTGTCGACCGTGAACACCTCCTGCACCATACTAGGTGATAATGAACAGTGAGAATTTCCGGGTGTCAATGGGGCATCGCGATGTTTTCCCCGTTTGCTTCTCATGTCGGCATACGCGACAGGTGTCGCCGGGATGGGATCGCTCATCCTTCACACAGATGGACACCCCATCCTACGACGCCACCCCAGCCCAGGGACCCTCTTCACTCCGGCACCATGGAGCCTGACATCCCCCTGCCTTGCTCCCCCAGGATCGAACCTGCTCATGCCTATCCTGATCGCCCCCATGGCGATGCAGCGGATGTGCCACCCGGACGGCGAGCTAGCAGTGGCACGCGCGGCGGCAAGCGTGGGCTCTGGCATGATCCTGTCCACGATGAGCACGGCCCCCCTCGCTGACGTGGCAGAGGAGCTCCCCTCGTCCACGCACGCCCTCAAGTGGTTCCAAGTGTACGTGAGTCGCGGCCTTGGGTGCTGTTGCAGGACTTCATTGCTTCTGATGCTTGATCTTCCCCCCATAACGTGGTGCCGCAAAATGCCAAGGGGTTTGCTTGGATCCGGTGTACGAATGTGGATCCCTGGACAGACCGGTGAGGTCTCCTATGGCAACAGCAGTAGCCTGTGGAAACCACAGAAACCCTGCACCACCAACCTTCCTCAGGTGCTCTCTCGGCGGGATGTCACAGCCCACATGGTGAAGGAGGCAGAGGCGGCCGGATACACCGCCATTGTTGTGACCGTCGATGCCCCCAGGCTAGGTGGGGCATGGGTCGCCCCTGTGAAGGGGAGGCGGTGCACCCTCTGGAGCTCTGTCCTGTATGCTACAGTGTCAACTAGGGGTGCGAGTTAGGGTGTGTGAATTCCCTCTATCTGCTCTGCACCATCGAGTGGAGTACCATGTTGAGAGATGAGGAAGAGGGTGCGGGCGTTCTTCCCCCGCCACGCCCATTACCTCCCCTCCCCCCCAACCCCCCAAACACACACACAGGGAAGCGCGACATCGACGACAAGCTGCACTTTGACATCCCGCCCCACCTCAGCCTGGCCAACCTCAAGGCGCTGCAGGAGGAGGCGGGGCGGCCGGCCAGCGGGCACAGCCAGGGCTCCGGCTTCGCGGCCTACTTCACCAGCCTCATAGACCCCTCCTTAACCTGGGACTGCATCGCCTGGCTGAAGTCGGTCACTCGCCTACCCATCCTGGTCAAGGTGGGAAGGGGCCCCGGGGGAGGCGGGGGAGGGAGGGCAGATGTGCAGCGCAGAGGCACACCGGCAGCGAACTGCGTCTACGAGAGGACAGCGGAGGGCTTGTCGAGTTCCAGGCTCTCGAGCGTGGCGCGGAGCGGGGTGTAACATGTCTGTGTGCGCGACTCACTTTCCAGGAGGCCACACTTGGTGCCTACATCTGTGATACAGCCCACAATGTCTGAACCCGCCCGCACCTGTCACCGCGTCTGTAAACCAAACCCGGCATGCGCTCACCAGCTGGTTGACCCTGCTCACCCGTCATGCAAATGTGCCCCCTTACCCTCCAGGGAGTGCTGGCCCCGGACGATGCCAGGGCCGCCATCCGGGCGGGGTCCGATGGCATCGTCGTCAGCAACCACGGCGGCCGCCAGCTGGACGGCACGCCCTCGGCGCTGGACGTCCTGCCCCACGTGGCGGCCGCCGTGGCGGGGCGGGTGCCCATTCTGATGGACGGCGGGGTGCGGAGGGGGACCGATGTGCTCAAGGTTGAAGGGGCGGGGTTGGTCGGGGGTGCCCCGAGGGGGGGGGGACTGGGGCCTTTGAGGGGGCCGACGCAGCCATGCGCCTGGGAACGAGTGAGATGTCGGAGACGGCCGTGCACCGAGGCGCTTCCCTGTGCAAAAATCCTGTGTTTTATCACACACACACACAAAGACAGGCGCACTAACACGCCCCCGCCCTCCCTCCTTCCTTCCTCTATCCCAACGCCCCAGTGCCTCGCGCTGGGGGCCAGCGCCGTGCTGATTGGGCGGCCCGTGCTGTGGGGCTTGACCCTGGGGGGGGAGGAGGGGGTCCGTGCCGTCCTGAGCACCATGCGCGCCGAGCTGGAGCTCAGCATGGCGCTGCTGGGGGTGGCGAGC